CAGAAACATTCATAAAGAATATTTACCTCAGAAGTAGGAGTTGTAACAGTCACAAACATTCCTAAACCAGGAGCAGAGTCAAGAAAGTCTTGTTTATGCATATCCCACTTCTGTACTTTGTAATTCCCTGAATAAAAACACAGATAAAAATCTGTTAAATAAAACATAGCTTAATATTAAACATCCTTATTGCTTTTTTCAGCAACAATATAAAGACAAATGATTAGCAATAAAATAATACATGTATTTCATGTACTTACAAATGAAACTGCTCAGGAGGCATTTTATAGCAGCGTGAAGTGCAATGAATTTTTACTACACTAGGAAATCTTAGAATAGTAGAAAAAAGATTGATTAATAAGTGAGACTTTTTTATTACTTCTAATGCTCTGGCAAGATCAGCATCCAGAGGACATGCTGAGACCACCAGAAGAGAAAGTATACTGTATTCAAATCACATTTTTTAAATTGTCTTCCATATTTATCACATTATTTGCAAAAACTATTATATATTTATTTTGACTATCACCTTTCAATCTTACACTTCACGTGCTGTACATGCATTTAATATATTTATCCCAGATTGAAAAGAACTTCAGTACATCTTGAATTGTTTTTTTTCCAAAACACTGTTAATTAATGGTATGAATGGGTCATAACATAATTTGAAGACTTTTTTCTATGTTGGGTCACTTAAGCTCTCTGGAAAACTTTCTTTATGTAATCTATACTCCAAATATGTGAGGACATGGTGGCTAGCCACTGTTGTAGGGATTTGTAGTGTGCCCTCTTTCTTATCACTGTAGTTTTACCACATTCATCAGTCACATGTTTTTCTATTAAACTACAAACTAATTTTATTATTGCATAGGTTAGATCATCATATAGCAAAGACAGGTACCTACCAGTTACCAGCGTGTCACTGGGAACATCTTCAATTACACATTTCTCTTCTCTTTCTCCACTATGAAAATACAAAGCGAGTGAAAAAGAAATCCAAAAGCTCATAAGAAATCCGATTAATTGGCTTTTCATTATTTTTATATATCCCAGTTGTTTATGTATCACTGCTTTTGAAGATAACTACAGAAGTATGGAGCCCTGTGGTCTTTCCTCATTTGCTGCTTATCAGTGTGTGTTTGAAAGAGAGAAAAAACTATGAGAAAATGCAGCTGGTGGTTACACATTTATAAATAACCGCAGCGTGTTCTGTAGGATGAGATAACAAGAAAACTTGTAAAATCTTAATTATTTCCCAGCAACTAGATTAAAATTTTATTTTATACACATACAGTAGTATGAAACTTGGAAGCATCACTCAAATACTTGAGACTGGTTCTCTATTAGCAACCACATTGGCTATCTCTTTCCATAAAATGCTCAATGTAAACTTATATTTCTGATTCCTCTCCAGTGATAATGTGCTATAAAATTTCACTCCTCTGTTATTTAGAAATCTTGTAATTTGCAACCTAAGTCATCATCATTGCAATATCTGTACATAAATCATAGGGACTACATAAAAAGGCTGAAAGAAATAGGAACTAAAGAACCTGAACAAAAAATGAATTTCAAACAATAATGATTATGGCATAACAGAAAAAAAGTATTAACACTTTATCGAAATAAGATTGTTTGCTTAACTGTTTTTTCTTGGATACTGCGTAATAAATTCTCTGAAGAAAGTTGTATTGTAAATCAAATAATTATTGAGATTTTTATTATTATCCTTTGTACCATTACAAACTAAACAATCTATATGGCTGATGACAAACTCAGTTACAACTCAAAGTGAGGGAATATGCAGGCGTTTCACAGCACAAAGTACCCACCTTTGGGGTAATTTCCAGTAGGGAGGACCCAATTTTGAATTCAGTTTTCCATTCAGAAGATCCTTGTGCTCCTGATGCACTACTGATAAGCAAATCACGTCTCATGGCCATCAGATCCTGAAGAGCCTCAAGAGTGAAGTTAGGACTTCCTTACTACTTTAGCTTTTATCCATCAAAATAAATTTCTGATGGAAATTCTGTCCTGATGTGTTCAGAACAAATAAGAACAGATTGTTTAGAATCTGATTGTCTAACTGGAGTCTCCAGAACAGGGAGTTCTTGACTGACATGCACCTGCATAAATTCTCATGCCTTTCTGCACCTGCTAGAAGAACACGTTTGGCTTCAGATTGTGAACTACTTAAGCAAGCACCCTTTTTAGCTTTTTATTGACTTGAGATCTCTAAAAAAATCATTCCAGTGCCAGAACAAAAGCAAGACGTACAAGGGGACATAATTTGATCCTTCACTTTATCCAAACACATTTAGGATAGACACTTTCATACTTCAGGCTAGCATATGCTATCATAGTAGGGCTGCTGGACTTCAATCAAACAAGGATAAATCAGTCTCCAGGCAACCAGGTGCTGTGCAGTATATGAAAAGCTTTTCATTTCAGTCATTTAGAGTACCTGTAAATTATCACAGACAGAATTTCTTTCACACATCATATCCTATTAAACAGGATTCAGCTGATTTCAAGAGTGAAATTTTCTGAGTGCATTAGATATTGTCATGGAATAGTCTGAGTTTTTTATTGGGTTGGATCAGGTTTAATATTCCCATAGTACTCCAATTAATTACCTGGTATTGGCAGTATCCTGCACTGATATTTTTCAATATTAGCAGGTGTCAGATCTTTTGTTCACACCCATTTTGCAATGCTGGGAACAGTCCTCACAGTGATGAGAAAGGCTGGCATAGACCTTCCTTCCTATTCTAGAAGTTAGGAACACACTAGTACCTGTGATTGTCCTTCGCTTCTGCAGTGTGGCTGGAACACTGGAGCTGTTTTGCAGTGAAGCCAAGACCATCCATCCCCATAAGGATATTTAACAGAGGACACACTCCCCAAGGAGCCATCCCAGTTCTTTTGGACTATCTGGCAGAACTAAATGTATAGTCCACCTAAGGCTTACACAGCCAGCATTTACACTACAGTATGCGGAAGATCTTTTCGGTTCAGTTCACCAAGTCCCTCGTATCCTCACTCATCTACAAATGTACTTTTTCCTAGTCAGTAAGCACCAAGGCTCTGGATGTCTGCAGAAAAGCAACATCCCACAAAAAAAAAAAAAAAAAAAAAAAAAAAAAACAGAAACGTAGACAGCTTCAGATGGCATTGCTACTCATCCGAAAACAGAAAGTTTCCATATGTTCACAACCAAATGTCCTTGAATTCCTCAGAGTAGTGGACAAGCTGTACTCAGTCATGAGGTACCCTACTGCACTATGGGTACTGAATTTAGTGTCCATGTATTTTGTAGAACCACAGTTTAAGTCAGAGGTGACTTTCTTGCTGCTACACTTACCTTTAACCATGTCTTCTGTTGCTGCAAGAATCTCTGCCCAGACAGCAAACATGATTTATCCTACATAACATTATTGCTTAAAAAACTGTATTTTGAAATCTGTTTTAAGTTTATTCCCTAAGTGTTTTTTGAGATTAGTTTAACCTAGAAATTAATTTACCTATTTCCTTCCCTAAATCTTATGTGTGTAGGACCATATTATCTTGGCTGCCAGCCATCAGTAACACTGCACACAAGGGAAAAGTAAGGAAGAGATTCTCTGTGTTTCATTGCTGTCTCAGAACTGTAAAGATAAATCTAAAGCTGTGCTCAAAGTAAAAGTAACAAAGCAATCCCAGACAGGGATCACATATCCCACTAATCAGTTTAATAAAAATACGTTATGAGAAATGCATTCTGTTATGAGAATATTCTTCAGCAGAATTCACTGTATCCAGTCTCGTCAAGAAATGTCCTTGTCCCCAGTATTTCTAACACTGAAATTTATTGTCTTATTGTATATTTACTTCCTTTTCTATTCTATCTCCTCCCAAAAAAACTTTTGGCATCGGGAGTTTCAGTAAATGCTGGGTCTGCTGGTATTGCATCATATCCTATAAGGCTGAAATCCTCCATTCACATTAGACAACTACAGATACAAATATTTTCTGCCAGTCTTATGTATTTTTTTCTGGAAGTGCAAAGAAGCAAAACTGCAGTGTTTAGAGAACTTCTAGAAAAATACTATTAAGGATACCTTTCACTTCAGCAAAACCTTGTGGGAGTTTAGTCTACAAGCAGCTGATGTGTCAATTTGAATTTAGTTTCTGTCCTCAGAGCATGTTTCAGTATTTGCTTCTGTATTCTTAGATGGAGATAATTGTTTAACTATGCAGTAAATAAGCTTAACAGAAAATATTAAATAAGGAAAAATTAATATATAAAGAAGATAGAAACTGGAAAAGGAGAAATCAACTAGATGCAAAATATATAAATTATATTTTGTTAACACTCTTTCTATTAGAGAATGGACACAGGGGACCATGAAGAAAAGTAGGTATAATAAAAAAATAGTGACATAATTTTGACAACATGCACATGGGAACCTGAAGAACGTAAGATGTAGAAATTCCTATTTTTAGCTCTAACAACTGCATTCGTCAGCATTTCAGGACCAACTTAGATTAGCCTGATAATGTTTCAAATTCCCTTGGGTCTTTGCAAGATTTATCTCCTTTTAAAACGTATAGAGAACCTTTTACATGTTTCTGCTCAACAGAGAATACAGGGTGCTCTTGTAGTTGAAATATTCCAAAATGAACCTATGCAACCCACTGTCTCCTGTTCAATACTTCAGCTTTAGTGTGTTTGTAGAATTGCAATGTGCTGTAAAAGTTTTGTGAGTTGATTGTAAATATCTCCTATTGAACAGTCTAATTTCAAAATTTGTTTCTTAGTTGTCACAATTCTTTATGGGACACAGATCATCTAAATGTTATAATAAACATTATACGAGCATCAAAGCTTGCCATCTGGAGTGGCTTCTGACATACTGTGTTTTGTTAGATGTGTGTATACCTCTGTCTTAGGTAACACTAGAACCTCATTAAGTTTTCTCTTTGCAAAGTTCAGGATGACACAAATAGCAACAAACACATTTAAAGAAACATGGACACATTTACTGCATACACAGAGAGAACTATATAATTTATATTACAGCCAACAGTGTTAATGTCTTAACAACTATTTTTCAGACAGCTGCCTCATTAGGGGCACACATCAACCATCAGTCAGGTCTGGAATCTCAATTAAGCTTTTAAAGTTAAGTTCAGAGTCTTTCTACTGCTATCCAAACTGCTGTTTTTTTTCTAGTCATTTTGTTGGCTGAGTGTCCTCATGGTAGATATTCTACTCAGATTTGAAGGGGGAAAAAAAAAAAGACATTTCCATGTACTCGTAAGTCTCAAGATGAGTTTACTCAGTCATGTTATTGTTTTAGCCATACTGCAAAAATCTGGTCACTTTGGTTTATTGAAGTAGTTTCTGAAGAAAGGCAAGCAAAACATGTTTAGAAAGACAACAAAACCGCCAATAAATTATAATATACATAATTTAGAGAAAAAATTAATTTCTAGGTATAAATAGTTGCAAATCAACAAATTACACTATTTAAGAATGTTATTAGTTAAGATTTTTTGATTGAATGGTTTTCACATCCGAAGCAAAATCTTTCCAAAATGTCTTCTTTTCTGCCACTAGAGGGTACTCCAAGAACTTAGAGTGTGTAACAGAGATTTATTTGGTCTGTAAATGATGAAGTACTGTTGTCATACTAAACCTTAAGAATGTAACACCCCAAAGTCTTGATACTAAACAGCAACTTTCAAAACCAGTCTAATATATCTTTTCAGCAAAATAGTGTGGCATACCTGAATTATAAGGAACACTGAATGACATGTAGTTTAGGTTTAGTTACACTTATCTTACTTTAAATTATCTAAATTATTATCTTTTCTTTATTTCAGACACAGTTATCTGGTTCACATCCTGCTTCTTCTTCCAGACTTGGACAAGGCGTTCCATCATTAGCAGGGTGAAGAACTACAAAACGAGTTCTGATCTTGGTCCCTGTTTTTCTGCAAGGACCTCTGCAGAGACCCCAGGAAGACCACTGCGAAACTTCACAGTCCAGTGGTGTTTCTGCAAAATGCACAATAAAAAGGTAACTCCAAAATTTTCTGCGGAAGGCAAATACATAGTTGGCAAAGCATTAAGGAATAATGATCAAGTAGCATCCTTTCTTATACAAAAATACATGTGATATTAATGAAATCCATATGTTGTCTTATAAATAAAAACGTCTGTTTTCAGCTCCTAAATTCAAGGACAGTGCTATTATTTTTATTGCAGTCAAGAGACTGTCAGAGGCACTACATCAGTAGTGCAGCAGATTTTTTATTGAATTGAAAATGTAGCATTTTCATCCCAAAAGACTATGTTTTAAGTGATTACGTTCAAAAAAGATTGCATTCAAAAACACAGTGTCAATCTTCTAATTTATTTGTCATTTAATTGCTTAGTAATAACACTGGAATTAAAGCTTTTATCTGGTTTATTTATGTACATTTCTATTTCTTTGGAGGGATATGTTGTTCCTGTAGTTAGATCAGATTCCACTTAACTCCTGTTCATTTAACTCTTGCTTCAGAAGCAAAGAAAGTTTCATTTTTTAATCAGGAAATCTTCTTTTTTGGTACTTATGCTAGAGTTCCCTTTGCCAATAAAAGTTATTCTGTAACTAGAAGCTTTTTAATACTGAAAGTGTTTTCAATGTAGTTTCAATTTACTGCAATTAAAGAAATTAGAAACTCAAATATACTTTGCATAATATAAACTTCCATTGAAAATATCTGTCATAAAAAGAAAAGGTGTTTATTCCTTAAGAAGCTAAATAAAAATCACTGCTGGTCACAGGAAATCACATCAAATCTTTGTATTAGAGCATTTGAGCATAAAGTAGCTGTGCACAAGATCAGCTTTAAATGCTGTACTGAATATCTGACCTCTGATATAGATTTCTGGCTTTACAATGGAACTCACTACTTCTGTTACAATAATCAATTCTCATGCTTCTAACAAGAATGAGCAACATGGTTTGATCTCTGATAATTAACTCTGTCCTTCTGCTTCTGGAATATATTTTTGAATAGACTGATTTACTTGTTAATATGCTGTAAAGTGGAGACCCATGATTTAAAACAATTCCTGAAAAGTACAGTATTTCATGAGTTGTATTATGAGTTGTTTATATGCTAAAGAGAGACAAATGTTCCTTTCATATGTTGCAGGAAAGACATAAGATTCATAGCACTCCAAAATTGTCTTGTTTACTAATAGAAAAACATTGACTCAAACTTCATAAAGAAATGCACTTACGCAAGTATAAATTGTGCATTGTTAACTGCATGGAAAATGAACTTTATTTTAGCAATCATGAGGTGTCTTTAGGACACAACTAGAGGCATTAATCTTCAGACTTATTCTGGAGAAGCTCTTCTTGGAACATGTTTTATATAAGGAATGTATTGGAGATTTAGCCCAGAGCTGTCTCTCAAATAGCATCTGGGATGTCAGTCTTATTCATAACCATTTCTGTTACACTTTATAAAAAGTTACAGAAAATATAAAGGGAATAACTACATAGACACCAACTGCTATCTTTCACACTGAGCAAATTTTCTTTCTGTTATCCTCCAAACTATCTCGAGTCAGATGTTCCAATGCCACTCTACCTAAACAAGGTTATTTGCTAGATTTTTAAGGAAAGAAAAAAAGAGAGAATGATATTTTTTATTTTCATTAAATAGATGTCTGTTACTATCCCAAAAATATCCAGGGATGCATATAGTATGCACTATTTCTTCTGTTGCATCATGATGTAAGAAGTTAAGCAGGAGTATTTACTTACAAGTTGCAAGGAATCTGTGGAGTTTTAATTCTGATCAATACTGTTTATTTGTCATAAAATTCACTGATCTGTGGTGATACTAAGACTTGAGCAAGCTTCACTGCGGTACAACCCAAGTCTTTGAACCATAGCTCAAGCATGAAATCCATGCCTTATTTTTTCAGAGATTCTCTGTTATGTCAATTGGCTTGTTTTATTTCCTGTGTGAGTGTGAAAACTATTGCAATGCAAATAGGAGAATATTTTACCTAATCACCTATTTCATCCACATCACCTACCAGAGTGTCACACACTTTTTGAATGAACAGAAATTAATGAATTGAGAATATCACAGTGCCAATTACTTACCTGAGAATGTGTCAAGTATTTCATTGCTTTTAGCTGGCTGGTTAAGATGAGGTATAGGAAAACCCAACTGGTTTTTCTTTAATTTCACCATCGTTACTTGAGCAATAGGTGGCAAAATTTTGAGTTTGGGATAATAAAATGAGTTTGCTGGGTGGCTTGGAGAGGAACAAGTGATCTGTGAAACAAAAAGGGAACCTTGAAGAAATGCATCATTCTAGTAACAAATAACTGGAAAATCATGTTTATGCATTGTGTTGATTCCTTTTGGCAACTAAGAAAAAAAGGATTCTGTAAGCTCCAGCTCACAAAACTACTTCTGGTAATCCCAGATGGTTTGTGCAAAATACTTCTGAATTGGGCACAATGAATTGTGCCAACTTTTGGATGGAGGATTGAGATGGGAGGTACTGAAAACAGTAATGTTTGGAATGGTTTGTTGAGATATTGTGGATGTTAATACAAGACAGAATACAAGAGTATTAAATAATAGTATTAGGTATGCTGTAGCAGATGTCATATGTGTATAGGAGTCCAGATGGATTGTTTTCCAGCTTCTCTGTTGTTTGTCTCACTGCTCATTAGCACAGCATTTGGCTCTAGAGAATCTGACCTTAACAAAAATAGGGACAGAGTGCTTCACCTATTCAAAACTTTTGAATTAAGATGCTCTGTTTCCCACCACCCAAAAATGACAAAAGCAAAGAGCAAGCAAAAAAGACTGAAAGCAGAGTCACTGCAGTAGGAACAAAGATGTTTTCTGCTTTCCACTAACTCCTTTCCCTCAAATGTAACAGACTCAGGTATCAGCAATGTGTTCTAAGGAAAACTCCTCCCCACATCAGTACGTATAATTTCCTACTTGGACTTTTCCTGTTTGGATACAAATTTAGTCATGCGAAATTCTGGAAAATATTTTCATTTCTTTAGTTTTTTAAGAATTGTTAAAAACCATCTTGGAATAATTATATTGGTGGAATATGTCCCCTCCGACATAAGCCATTCAATAATTCTATGATATTCTACATAAATAAATGTAAGCCAGTTCTCATAGTGCTTCTGCATTTACCCAATAAATTAGAATAATACAGGAAATGAACAAAAGCTATTAATACATCCAGGTAGAGTGAGCATCAGTACTCTCAAATACTGAAATCAATTTCATGAGAGAATGTCTTGTGTAGTTACAGGACAGTTAGCTTTGAAGTGGGGGACTCAAAATACAGAGATATGGAGTTCTAATTTATTTATGCACACCTACCTCTGTAACTGTGTCCTGTGGAATAGTGGCAAAGTTTGGGGAAGAAAATGTGAAGCCACTGTCAGTTCCAGCATCGTATGGATATAGATCTATAGATATTTCTTCCATCCAGTGGTCTCCTTCACAGAGGTTTAGGCTGTCAATACCCACAAACCAGTCGGGACTTGGCACAATTCGTACAACAAATGAAACCTAAGGAAATAAAACAACTCAGCATTACTTATGGCGTTACTTATTTTGAAATTTTCCAGTATAAGTTATTGGAACTGTAACTTAACTCTTGAAATAAATGGGCTTTTATATACTTCTGCTTTACAAAACCTCTTAAGAGCTCACCGAAATTTGACATGCTTTTTTTTTTAAGTAACATTTTTCATTATCATATTTCTACCAATGAGAACTCAAATATTTAACTTTGTGTGCTAGTGACGTTTAAAAAAAAAAAAAAAAACCCCTTTAAGGATTAGTATGTAAATTTACTTACTAATGGATGTCTTGAATGCACTTGTAATTCAGTGGAGGTTTGTCCTGTGCCACTGGAAATGGCAGGAGCAGAGAAGATTCCATGCACACTCTGAATTTTCTCTCCAGCTTCTTCTATTTCTTTCATTAATACCCATGCCTCACCCTTTTCAGCAAAATCACGTACACCATTGCTGGCATATTCATTTTTTTTCCACATGCTGTAGTCAGAACTATGAGTAACACCTATTTGAGTGAATACATTGCATGATAGAAAAGTCTGGTTTAGATTGTCCGTATTTCTTCAGATGCTCTCTTTTATTTCTAAGGTTAAAAAAATTTGTGTTTAAGCATGAGCGAACACTAAAACATTTGACTTATCACTGTTTATTTCAGCTGTAGCCAATTGGAAACAGAAGTCAATTGAAAACAGTTGTAGATTTTTGAAAGCATTGTGAATGCTTCAATTTGAAAGCATTGTGAATACTTCAATTTCTGCAATTTATTCTTAATCACTTCAGCTATTTTCCTTATTTTCATATTAGTCATATTAAAATCTACTATTGGAGAAAAAAGAAGGGAAAAAAAAAAAAAAAAAAGATCACAGTGATCAAGACATTTATCTGGTCTTAAAACTGTGCATTTTTCACTTACCTAGCATTGATGACCACTGTGCTGGGGGCCTATAAAGCGGATACTGTTTGGGGAAGGCAGTCTGACTCCATTTCCCTGTGAAGATTATACTGTACTTTGCAAGTTCCTCTGCTGTGCAAATAGAGTCATCACCCAGAGGCAAGCTGCTGGCATAGCCTAGAATTGTTACAAGCAGCGTCCAGATAACTTTGCAGGAGCAGTAGACAAACATCAGGTTTTCCATTCCCTTCCACACGCAGAGAAAAAAAAAATGCAGACACATTAGTCACTCTAAGCTCAGAAAGAAATAAGAGTTACCTAATAAAATGTAACAAAGCATAAGTTTTAACAAAAAGAAAATTCATATCCCAAGCACCAAAATTGTGATGCTTCTAGAAACATACCAATATTTTCAGATTTGATATTTCCAGGCTATATGTTACAAATCTGTAACCGTACCTAGGACAAGTGTTTCTAATGAAAATAAAAATATCCTACCCTTGTTCTTAGCACTACCTCTGAGAAAAATCTGTTTCTGATTTTCTTTTGAAATCTTATTAGAGACACATCTTGAATTAATTAGAGTAGCAACTGTTTCTGTGGAAAACATTAGTGGTATATTTATTCTTCTAAAGATTAAATTGCAGGTTACTTTGCCAAAAGACATGATTTATTTTAAATTTGTATCCAACAAAGAATATTTTATGGCATAACATTTAAAATCAAATACATTTAAAATATATATAAAGTACTTCTGGAACTGGTGCATAAAAAATAGATTGAGATTGCTTCAGACTGTTAAAGCTACAGAGTTGTTAAAAAACAATATTTTTTTAAAGTCGCTGTCAAAGGCTGTGCAAATTTTGTTTTTAAATTAATATGATAATTGCATCAGACTGTTGAACTCCAGCAATTGTTTAAACTAACAGCCTTAAAACCTTACACTTAAATGTTTTTTTCTTCTGAGAAAACTGTACAAATAGAACTAAAGCACTAGTAGTACATTAATTGATAAAAAGAGCTGTGAATACTCACTAAATATTTCCTCTGGAGCACTGGTGAGGGGAGAGCACCTGCTTTTGCTGGCAGCTGAGTTGGTCTGCAAGAGAAGACAGTAGGAGTCTTGCTATTTATGCCTGAAGAGGGTCCCTTTGGTCCAACAATTATTGTAATCTTTAGACTTTCCAGGTTTGCAGAAAACATGTCATCTTCTTTCTTGCAATCTTTTTGGACGGTCTGCCAGAGGTTTCCTCTATGTCAACTGGTTCAGGTTCCTACCAGAAGACTGTGATGCCGAATAGACAAAATGCTTTTAAAAAATACCTTGGATTCCTACTAACAGTTTGGATTTTCTGGTGACTTTACAGTTCTCTGTTCTTACTAATGCCTCTAAGCTATACAAATGAACTGATTCCAACACTGGAATAGCTCTAGCAAATACACTTTAAATGAGAAGCATGTTTTCTTGCAAGTTTTATTGTCTGACAGATGCTCCTTCCAAACATTTACAGAGAGCTTGCTCACTCTCACACACCATATGTATGTGTTCAAATAAAAAGGGTGAGGCAGCTAAAAAAGTCAAGAGGAAAAAAAAGTTGCATTTCATAATTGCACATACTCACACAGACTGTCTCCTGCAAATATGAATTAATTTAAAGTAGCACAGTGTATATTTTTGTGTTCTACAGTACCGTATGCTGGATGATGAAAGGGCTCTGTAACATTGTGGTTTCTTTGGAAAGAGTGGTTTTGGGAAGCACTGAGATTTTTCTTAGCTGTCTTCAGAGTAAAAAATCCCCAAATAAAAATCTCATTATTACAGTTAAATCAGACGTCCTCTGCAACACTACTTACATACGTAATACTTACACATACTCACTACAATTATTTGAATTGCCTATGAAAAATGATGCTTCCTGCAGGGACCTAATTAAGAAATAATGTTAAATATTTATTTAAAATCATTTTCCTTAGCACCTTTTTAAAATACCCATAGGAAAAATAAGAGCTTTGTGCCATGCCTACACAGTTAACAAATGCTACTGCTGCTGATCAGCAAAGGAAATTAAGTTCAAAAGTTTACAATGAACCATGAGGAAAGTCTTGCATAGAGTCTTCCTTTGAAATTGTGAGGAATGTTGCTTAAGTACTTTCACAGACATCTCATAAGATGGTACAGCATAGGGGAAAGAAAAAAAACAACAACAACAATATAATAAAAAGCCCTGTTATGTTTCAGATGGAAATCCCAGGCCATCGTGGGAGTACAGTTTAAGTCAGATAGTCTATCGTCCACCAGGAGGGGATTACCAACAAAGTTGTTTGAGTTCTCTGGCACTTTAAATGGTTACGTCTCCTTTCCTTCTGCCCCCCACCCCATATGGTAAATTGGTAAGAAACACCAAGAGACAGATAAACTGGAATGTCTGAACTGTATGTACATTGATCATTATTCTCCTGGCAAAACACAATCCATTGGAAGTTTCAATATAGCTAGATTCAGTGTCCACTATCCACGATTCATGTATATCTGAATCGATTATGGGAATTCTGTAGCAGGCTGGGCCATTCAGACATGGGTGTGTCCTTTATTTCCAAGACCCTTTTCTCTATTCTACATTCATGTCAGTGAAAATACCTGTGCTTTCCATAGCTTAGTTCTGTTCCAGGAGCCACAGTCATCTAATCAATATTGCTAAGAAACATTAGGGATATTTCTACATCAGTTATTTGAGTGTTTGTTAGAGAATGTTATGTGAATTACATCAAGCTTTAACCCTCCTGGGCACAGAATTCCAGATCCACAGATTCTTTAGGGAATTGAGCCTACTTATACGTATCAGGAGTGGGTGATGTCCCCAGCCCCTGCAACCTTCTAGAGGAACAACAAAAAAATCCCATAAATATTAATGTTGCACAGAGAACTGTTAAACTGGCTTAAGGGTATTACTATCCTTAAACTTCACTATGGTTTTGTTATTAATATCTTCAATCATCACAGTTACTGAACCAGCTAAACACACATATTGAAACATACTGCAATACTTCCAGGAGAACACTTAAAAGGAGAACAAAGCAACTAACTGCATCCAGAACAGAACTATTTAATATATCCGACTAATCTCTTCCTCTCGAGGAAAACTTGCTGTCAAAAGTCACATCACCAAACTAGATCATTCTAGTTTTATGATTACAAGTTATGAATGTCTCCAGGAACAGAACAATACATGCAGGCTGCATAATTTGGCTCAGATATTACAGGGAATGCTTTCTAAATGATGAAAGAAACTGAATCACTGGAAGTCATTAACTTGGAAAAATCATGAAGTTTTTAAGTACCGATTAGGCAGAAAGATATCAAAAACAAAAAGTTAGTTGGTTCTCCCTTAGAATAGTAATGCATGATGCCTTATACTGAGCATCTGAGATACCTTCCAGACCTATGTTCCTTCTTCTAAAGCTCCATTACTCCCATTAATTGAATTTATCAGATTCTTCAAATTAGATATGCAATCAATGGAACACAACTGATGCAAGATCTTTTACTTTCCTACTTTTCTTCTGTTGGAATTATAGAGTTTGAACTATACTTTGAAGATACTCAGAAAACAAAATGGATTATAGTCCTCATGTTCATTGTCAGATTCCAATCCAGAATGGAGATTTCCTTCCTTACCATTCCTACAGTGAACTATTCCCTATTCATAATAAGGGCTTAGCTATGATAAAGTATTACGGAGGATTAAAACATTCAAAACCTATAAACTTCTTTTTTTTTTTTTTTTAATTCCATAGTGAAATTGCTGGATAAAGTATAGAAAATCAAAATGTTAGTTAATAATCTTACACACACATACATAAGCACTGATGTCTTCCACCTCCATGGCTGAATGAGGGGAAAAGCAGAGAAAAGACACACCTAAATTATGTCAGAAAATATCAACCTGAGGGCTTCCAATCTTTTTTCTTTAAATACAATCTACTAAACATAATCAGTTTCTGACACTGTAAAGGACATCAGAACACCAAATTCAGTATCTCATTGTCGGAGAAAATGAAAAAAAAAAAGAAACCAACTCCCCCCCCGGGTAAAACAAGAAAAAAAAAAGGAAAAAAAAAAAAAAGATTTCTACTCAATGAATGACATTCATGGCTGGGAAGCCACAGATGCCAAATTTCTGTGGGCCAGCAGTTGGAGAAAAAAATCGCTGTGGGATCAGAATCTATGCTTGCAGCTGAAAACACAGAGATGACTGGGGAAAAGACTTCCACTTTTAGAAACTATTTTTGCCTGTGTACAGAATTGGAGGTTGCAAAATAGCCTTTGTTCTTAAAGTCCGTGCTTTTCAGTTACATTTATTTCCCATGTATATGGTAATATATGCGTGTATATGAATACATACCTCTATAGACCCTGAATGCTTGAGGGAGTAGGCTTATCTTATTCAAACATCAGTGCTGAAATTTGCCTCGTGTTTAATTTTGTTTGTGTCTATGTGCAACTTTTGCTCTTTCCTGACAATAAAAAAGTCTTACAGTTTCTTCAGGCTTTCCCAAGATTCAATGGGTGGAAGACAGATAGTATAAAACAAAAGTTGTGTCCAATTAGTCTTGTTTTTTTGTTTTTTTAATGACATTCAATACCTTCTAAAATAGTCTGAATTTTTGCCAACCTAAAATGGTTCATAAAATGAGAAAAAAAAATCCCTACTTAAAAATTACAACATTACTTTTAATATCAGTCAATTTGCCTAACTTTATTCAGAAAAGAAGCTCCAAAAATTTTGTATCTCTATTCCTGAATTATTATCACACATTAAAATCATGCTAAAACAATTTCTACTTTCCTGGTAATTAGCATGCGTTCAACTTTGATATGTGCTGGTTATTTGACATGCTTATGAATAGCTATCATCTCTTTGTCTACCAAGAGAAACATAATATTGTAGTACTTAATAAGGATTATACACCCATACTTTCTCTCCTGCAGTTACCATGGATACAGATACGATTATGGACACTCAACAATGCCAAAAGGTTTACAGACAGTCTACACCCTCTAAGTTGTAAGATCTCAGTACCAGAGTGGTAAGCAGCAGATTATTTTGCTGTGTAGAAACTACAGTGTTGACTGGAAGATTTTCTAAAACACATTTATATAGGAGAATAAACATTGTCGATACTGGTGTTGCAAACTACAGTGTTGACTGGAAGATTTTATAAAACACATTTATATAGGAGAATAAACATTGTCGATACTGGTGTTGCAATAGCAGTTAAAGCAGCTTTTAATCTCAACTTATCTTTTGCAATAACAATTTTGTTTGAAGGATAAGCCACCTAAACTATGTAAGCACATGTGAAATAGATATGTAAAATGCCACTATATGTATTGAAGGTCTAGTTATTACAGTCAGTTAAATCTAGAGAACTATCCAGCTCACCCTTTAATACACACCTACATTTGACCAAATGAATGACTGATGAGTAGCTCTCTGGTCTCCACCAAGTGTACTGGTAGGCTCTCCATCAACCAGACACCTTGCTCACATATAATCTACATGTAATTAACCGATTCAGACATCTCTATCTGTTACTGAATCTAAACTCAACTGGACTTTGTTACATGTTCTCACTGATAACTAATCAAGGTTCAGCTTGCTAGTAGTGAACTGCAATTTTTCTCTCTATTTTGAGTCTAGATATTCCTATTGCAAGGACACTGTGTTTTGCATTGGTTGGGTTTTGGTTTTGTTTGCTGTTGCGGTTTTTGTTTGTTTGCAAGTTTAATTCAGAGCTCATTGAGAACTCAGACCAAGATAAGGATAAATCCCAGATATACTGACTGCAATTACATATCAATAAGAAACACTTCCAGCATCCTTGTCTTACCCAATTTTAATAACTTCTAGTACTGAAAAATCTAGTATGCAAGCCAGTACTCAATGACTGAATCAAGGTCACCTATCAAAGTGACAAAAGACCATATTTCCCTGCACATATTGTAGTTTCACCCAAACTGTGTGGCAGTAGTAACCACTTTGTCCATTCCAGATTCTGCATCGCAGATTTTTAGTTTCACCTTCTTTACATGAGTGCAAAGATTCAGTGGCTACTCACTGAACAACACAGAAGAACTGACTGAGTTAATAACAAATACTTCTACGTCAGCATTCAGACAAATATCCTTCCTTCATATGACTCATTGTTTTGATGGAAGGAACACACCAGGAGAAGCAGCTCCCAACATAGAAGGGGATGGGAGAACCCAAGGCAGTAGCTATCAAGGTTTGATTTACATGCTTAGTGAGGCAGTTTGCTGAGCTGCCTACTGCTCAAGTTGTTCAACTTTTTTGGAAAGCCATCTTCACCAGCATTTTTGGTCCACTTATCTATCATTTATCATGCTATCACAGAAGCTGTCTTCCACTGCATAAGCATCCTTCAGAAATCTTTTTCTCCTGTTTCACCACACTCCTTCAGACATAATAGACCATAGCTGGAGGGTCTTGGTTCACATAAGGACTTAGCAGTTGGAGCACTCTGATGATCTCATCATCAGGGTTGTCCAAACAATACTTCAATAACTTCTTAGGAAGTTATCTTCTTAGGAATAGAGTTATCTTGGCAACAATTAACATAACCAGAAACAAACAATTTAAAGCCCCTCCCCTAACTCAGCAGCTAAATCACAAATCAGTGACCTCATTC